CTATCTCCAGAACCTGAGACCTCAGTACTTCTAGCAGGTGCTAGGCAGTGTTCCAGAGCCCATGGAAAATCATGGCGTAAACATGATGAAATGTCCAAAGGAATCACTTTTGCAGCAACATTTTGAGGGCAATGAGATCATTTCATACTAAAAAAATGAGTAGACTAGTACAATATAACATTTTCTCACGCAAAAATCAGTTATTTCATGGAATTTTCACCTTCTCAAGGCTCATCCAGGATCCTGTCTTCTTCTTGCACACCCTTGTATCCACCCTTCTCCCTGGGTGGAGTAGCTTGAGAAGTGCAATGCAACAAGGCACTGTCAGCACAGTCTGCTGGAGTCATCAGCCAAGGGCTGGTTCAGAGATGTGGTGCCATCTTAGAGAAGGAAATAGAGAAAGCAGACAAGAAACGATAAGACTGCTGGTGTCAGCACTGGCTCCGCAACAGCCAGTCCAGGCCAGCTGTCCAGCCCTGGCCCTCTATGTTCCCACAGCAGATAAACTGGGGTGCTGAGTGTTTCATTTTGGTTGGGTTGGGGTGGGGCTGGAAATCTGGAAATTCCCCTACCACACAGGACATTGCTTTGATTGTGCTGTGTTACCTGAACTAATATTGGAGTCTTAGAGCAGAATAAAGGCAATGGAGTTTGTCTGCTCCTCTACCGAAAACAACTTTACATAGTGTATTAGTAACTGTGATACTAGGAAATAGTTATTGAGTGCTCTCTATGTGCCAGACACAGTGTCAAGCATGTTACATGTTATTCTACTTCATCTTTGGAAAAAGACCATTGAGCAGATGATTATCATTTCCCTTTCATAAAGAGGGCAAGGATTAAACAGCCTCAGATGTCCACTGAGGGGTGGTGAGCAGACACCCAACTCCATCTGACCCATTTGCCACAAGGCCCAGTAGGCGGTGGAGGTCCTGTGTCCCCATCTCCAGGCCAAATGGGCACCATGCCAAGATAAATTCTTTAAACCAAACCACATGACTTCTTGTTGAGTGAGGTGGGCTGGACCAGACTGCTAGCCACCCTCTAATCCTTCCATGTCAGTGCCGAGGGAAAGGCCTCACTGGTGTGCCTTGCAGTGGCTCAGAACTTTTCCAAGGAACTCTGAGATGCTGTGTCCCAGTTGGGGAACTCGGGGGACTCATGACAATCTGAGGCAGAAAATGCTATGCTGTGGATCCTTCTACCTCTTCTTTGATTGTGTCATCCAAACACCAAAGGTCCTTTTCTGCCTTAAACCTTAGAAAGTGTTGACTATAAAACTAAATGAGAAATGAAAACTGCTGTGCAATTACGTGTTTCTGCTATTGATGCGATTTGAAAACTGTGGCTTGAACTATTTTCTTCTCACTGATTTTTCCAGTGAGCTTGTTTTATTCTTCTATGAATTCAGTTTGATGGTCTTAACTTAACCAGGCCCTTCAGGCTCTACCAAATTGGGAATTATGGGAGGATTTCTATGAGATGTGTGTGAGAGCTCCGATGGCAATAGTGAATTGATTTTCTGCTTTAGAGTTTACTAAATGGCTTTATGTCTTTTTTTATATTTTTTATCTCTCTCTGGAAAACAGTACCAAAATTTTCATTCTTTCTAAAATATAGATGATAAATCTCAGGCTTAGAGACTGGCTTTTTCAAGGCACTACAATATTCTGTGGAATCAAAAACCCAATTCTTTGAATTCCAGATCACGTAATTCTTCTATTATGTGTTAGGCAGGGCTGTCTGGAATTCCTGATGTTTGAATATTTTTGACACACAGTAAGCAGAAGTTTAATATGGTTCCACTCAATATAAATGCAGCCTGGTGTATTTGTAAGAAGGTGGACCCCAAAGCTAGATGGCATGTGTGTGAATCATGGTTTTGAAACTTACTGGTTGCTTATACTCTTTGTCCCTTAATTCCTATACTTTAAAATGAACATGCCACTAGCAATTCCCTGTGGATATAAGGATTCAGTGAGACAATACACAAGTGCCCAGAATTGTACCTGGCACAAGACTGACACTCATACAATGATACTTCACTATTATTGTAGATAATTAGCAAAAGCTTAATTATCAGAAATCCAGCCTTCCCAAATCCTTACACTCATGTCTTGACCTGAGATCTGAAAATTACTGGAACATAATAACAGCAGTTACAACATAACAGTCTTTTCTTTGAGAAACTGTTCAATGCAGGTTGAGGGGATGAAGGGCAGAAGGAGCCCCACACTCCTTGATGTTGTTTGGAAGCTTACATGTTCTCAGCCATCTGAAGTTGGTGGATGGAAACTAATCTTTCCTTACCAGGGAAGAAGTTGAGGCTAGGACAGGTCAACTGATTTTTCTACAGACCTCAGGATGATGGAGATGGATCTTGATGTAATTTCTTGTTCAGGACTGGCCCCCCTTTACAGAGCCCCAACACCCCTTTCAAACCTGGGTAGGGTGCCAAGCAAGCAATGTCCAGACTTAATCCAGAAACCTTGGATGCCAGGAGGATCTGGGAGCAGGGAAACCAGTAGAGGAGGGAAGTGAGCATGAGACACAGAGGCAGCTGTCAGTGGGGACTGATGCTGCCATGTTTGGTGACAAATGCCTGGGATGGCAGGTAGGCTCCAAGCTTCGATGGAGAGTGGAAGTGAGCACAGGGAGCAGCTGACTGTCATTTGGAAAGCTGAGCATTCAGGAGATCAGTGAGATACGGGAGGGCCAGCAGGAAGCAGTGCCTGCACACAGAGCCAGGTATAGATTGTTGTCTGTCATCATACAATGGAGGGCAAGTGATGGAACCTGCAGGCAGAGGCTGCCCCCAGACCACAGAGGAGAAGAACAAAGTCAAGGGCTGACACTGGAGGCACACCTAGAGAACTTCGGTTCCACAAAATATTTCCTAGCTGGACACTTGGAAGTCTGGTGTGGAATATTACAGTGTGCCTGTCAGAGGTGTTGGAACCAGGGCGACTCCATTTCGAGTGAGGGCTAGGAAAATGAGGCTGAGACTTGCTGGGCTGCATTCTCAGAAAGTTAGGCATTCCTAGCCTCCAGATGTTTACAGTTAGGGAACAAATTAATAATGTTTACGAAACAGCCCTAGACTTGGGTGCGTCCAGATATCCTGATATCTGGAGAACAAAAGCATTCTGAATAATATCAATTCTTGCAAAATATGATAATTGAGAAAATTAATCCTTTATCACAAATCCTTATAGTAGGACATATTTCCCTATATCTGCAAGCATTGTACCTGGGGTGGATGTGTTCCTCCTCTTACTTTTGGGAACGTCTATCCTACTCTGTCTATGGAGTGGCTGTTCTTTCACCACTTTACTTTCTTAATAAACTTGCTTTTGCTTTGCACTGCAGACTCACCCTGAATTCTTTCTTGCACGAGATCCAGGAACCCTCTCTTGGAGTATGGATTGGGATCCCTTCTCTGTAACATTCCCAGGAATCACCAGCAACAAACATTGTTGGATAGAGAATGCATTTGTATATTCAATAGCAGAATAACATAGAACTGGAATGTTAGTCATTCAACACTTGTCCCAAAGTACATCATATTCTTTGGTACAAGTAAAAGGTCCAAGAAATGTTAAGTGTCATATGAATTTGTAAGCCTGATCTTGGAAGATTCTAAACATGCTTGCATTTCTTTCTGACTTGGTATTTCCCAGACAGTGGATGGTTCTGGTCAATCTGATAGATTTGGGGTTGGGTGGAGGCTAGTTGTAACCGAGCTCCTTTAGGAGAGCTTTTTGAGAGGATTATGTGTCAGAAGCTGAGGTCTCCCCACTGCTTGAGACTGGATTAAGCAGCTCCCATAGCTGAGAAAGTGATCATTGGCAACCGATAACTGCCCCACAATGATTTTGTTTACAGAGTTTTATAATTTGCTGTGTGTTTTTGTGCACATTGTGGGTTTCTAAAAACACACTGATATGCTTTCAGGTGTGTTCAGTTTTTCTCAATTAATTTTTAAATTTTCTTGATAAAGTCCTGAGCGGAAAAAAAAAAAAAAAAAGCCCTTGATTTCGTTAAGGAGTGGGTCCTAGGGTGGGTGGAGACTCCTTTGCTGTGAATGTCACACCAACTAGATGAGCAGGATCACTTCCTCTTGTACCACCGAGGGTGAAGGCACATTCGCCTCACCTGATATGATGGGGTGGCCCTGGGCATCTTCTGCTGGCAGGGCCTCCTGCAGAACAAACTTGATCAGCTTGGTTCCCCACACAGCTCCACCACCCACAGACTCTGCCATCTTTCCTGCTGCTGTTCTTCTTGAGGTCATGTTCTGAGCATTCCCACGCGGCCTTGTTCTAGATCATTTGGTTTTTCCAGCTCCTTCTTGAAACCAGAGTGAAAATACTGAGATAGCCTCATCCTTTGCCCTGAAAATGTTTGATGTCAGCATTCATAGCCAAGGTGTTGCTACTTTACTCTGCTGCTCTATTTCCATTTCCAATGCACAGATCCAGGACAGAGACTATACAAGGATTTGGTTTCCTCAGTGCCAATGCTCCTTCGTAATTGCTTTTGCAAAATTAATGTAATAAAATGACTTTCCCAAAATGACTGCTTCAGGGAAAGCATGTTTTTTTTAGAATTACTTGATTCCAGGCTGAAACTTTTTTTCCCTGAGCTCTCCATGAGAAGGTCTTTCCTAACACATGTAGACTTTCCCTCTGATGTTTATCCTGTTGTCTCCAACTGTGTTTCCTTAGGCTGCTGTATTACCCTTTGTGCTTTAACTGTTTTTTTCCCTCATGTACATGTAAGTATCAGTGTTACAGAACATGTGTATAAAAGGGGAGACTTTACACTCAGCAAGTAAATGGGAAATTTCGCATATGACCAAAATTTGACTCTTTTGAGCAATTTTTAGTGGAAGAATTCATATTCATTTTCAAATTCATTTGCACAATCTCCACTATATGAGCGGTAAGCACTGGGAAGAAACAGAAGTTGATCTGTCCTAATCTGTTCACTTTCCTCAGGAGGGCTGCTGGATGAGATGTTTAACCGCGCAGGCGCTGGACACTTCCGTTTCTTGGGCAGCATCTTGGTCAATCTCTCTTCCTGCGTGGCGCTGAACCGTTTCCAGGCTGTGCATTCTGTCGACATCCTGGAGACTAAAGCACATGAACTCTTGCAGCAGAACAGCTTCTTGGCCAGTAAGTACTCAACAAAGTGCCAACTCCTGTAAGTTGTCATTTTGGGAGTTTCTCCCTAAAGGTGTCTTACGATAGCTCAGAAAGAAAAGAAGTCCTTTCCAGATAAAACATAAAATAAAGCAGAATTAGTTGCCTTAGATAAAACATAAAATAAAACAGAAATATTTGCCTTGGTTAATAAAAAGTTCTACCTTATGCCATAGTGACTAATAACGTTTTCACCATCCTAGGACCATTGCTATTTACTGCTTCTGCTCTTACCATTTTATGACATCATGTTCTGGTTAAATCTCACTTCATAAATCTTATTATTCCTGATTAAAATTATACTCTAATTTCCTGCATCACCTTTACTTTGATCAGAGTATCTTGATATCCTGGTTGGGGCGGAGAGCAGGCAATGGTCAACTCTACTCCATTATTTAATTGTTCACCCATTCAAGATAAATATGGTGATGCTCTCATATTCTTTTGGAATATACATTTAATTATTTTTAATAGAAGTTTTCTATTAGTTTGTTAAGGTTGCTGTAACAAAGTATCGCAGACTAAAACAAGAGAAGTTTATTGTCTCAGAGTTCTGGAAGCTAAATATTCCAGATGGAGACATCCACTGGTTTTTCCTGCGGGCTATGAGGAGAGGATCTTCTCTAGGCCCCTGTCATTGGCTTGTAGGTGGCCATCTTCTCCCTGGGTTTCTGCACCTCATCTTCCCTCTATGTATTTCTCTGTGTTTAAGTTTCCCTCTTTTTATAAAGACACCTGCATATTGAGTTAGGGCGCACCCTAATGGCCCTCATTTTAACTTGATTACTCTTTAAATGTTATCTCCAAATATAGTCACATTCTGAGGTACTGGGGGTTAGAACTTCTACATATGAATTTAATAGCGGACATGATTTAGCTGTAATAGGCTTTATGAATGCAATTCAAAGAATCCATGTGGCATAAAATAGAATCCATGTATTTAAGTTATGAATGATAAGTAACCCCAAAAAGATGGATTCTGCACATTGAGTTAACATCTGCAATCAAGAGAAGAAATCCCTGCAAAAATCATCTAACAAATAATTTCTTTGTGTTGATTATACCACAGTTTGCTTTTATGAAAAATACAAAGCAGCACTGGGCAGGGAATTAAGAGATCTTGGTTTAGGCTTACCACCAATTGCCTGTGTGACTGAAAGTCAGCTTTGCCCCTGGGGGCTCGGACTCTGAGTCTGTAGGAGTGGAGGGCTGTGAGTGTCAGGCTCCTGCAACTTTCTTGTCTTGCCCAGTGTAGACGTGGTTAGAGCCACTCCCTGCAGTGTGGTAATGCTTCACTTTTCCTTTTCTGCCACTAGGTATCATTTTCAACAATTCCTTACTCGGCAAGAGCTTCAGATCAGAGTCTGTCAAACTGCCACCCCATGTCTCATATACAATCCGGACCAATGTGTTATACAGCATGCGAACAGATGTGGTAAAAAACCCTTCCTGGAAGTTCCACCCTCAGAATCTACCAGCTGATGGATTCAAATATAACTACGTCTTTGTCCCACTGCAAGACATGATCGAAAGAGCCATCATTTTGGTGCAGACTGGGCAGGAAGTCCTGGAACCAGCAGCACAGACTCAGGCGGCCCCTTACCCCTGCCATACCAGCGATCTGTGAGTAGCCTGGGGCTGGAACCACCGACAGTGAGAAGGGCCTTGCATTTGGCAAGCCGAGGAGAGAAAACTCTGAGTTTTTCTATGGTTATTTCAAAAAGCGCTGTTAAAAAAGTTCACCACCCACTTTTTAATTTTGTAAGGTTCATTTTTTTTTATATGCTTGTAATCTTCAGGTAGAAGAAACATAATGGTTGAGTTAATACAATCAAGTGAAGTTTTAAATTTGACATCAGGCATCATCTACAGTTTTAAATACACTTAAAATATATTTGATGAATAACATTCACAAGGGCTGTGCATGTCCAACAAAAGACTCCACTTATCTAATCTTGGGAAAACTGAGGGAGGTTATTTTCTCTGCAGTGCAAATCCTTAGACATAGGCTGTATACTGGGCAGGGTGGCGAGGGATTCCATACAGGCCTTGATCGTGGCTTAGGTACCCATGAAGTAATACGAGAACATTTAGGAGTTCAAATTGTATAATTTGGCTGGTGACATCTACAGGAATAGAGGGGAAGCTCAGTGAAGGGCTGGAGCAGCTGCACAAGAGGACTTGGAGGGGGACATGATGGAGGCATTAAAGCATCCATCAGGGAGGCCAGGCAGGGGATGTTTGCAGAGAGGACAGGAGGCTGTGGTCGGACTGGGGCTCAGTGAACCTGAGGGTGAGCTTGGACACCTTGGCAGAGTCAGACAATGAAAGGACTTCAAAGCTCACCAAAGGGGGGTGAGCCGTATTGCTGTGGGCTGTGGGGCTCAGCCTGGATTTCTTACTTTCCTCATGGTACATACTGTTCTCATAAGCATCCTGCTCCCACAGCTGGCCTGGCTCTGGATAACACAGGTCGTTCATTTGCAGTCCCTGCATGCTGGCTCTGTTGCAGGGCCTCAGGAAGTCACCACCTTCTTACAATACTAAAGGGACAGGTTTGCGTGTTCTATTAGTTACGAGAACAGGGACAAGTACTCATCCTTCATCGAGACACTGCCAGTAACAACTCATGGCACCTCCCACCCCTGACTGGGGCAGAGCCATGGACCACCAAGCAGAAATGAGGACTGCCTCTCTACGTGACTGGGCGACACACATGTAAGGACAGGTGACTTGATGTCTTAACCCCTCCTTCCCATCCAGTGATATGCCGCATACATAAGAGCACATCCACACATTTTTTTTATGAAAATGCTGGTGGTACAGGAAGAACTTTCCCACAGTGGGAGGATAAAGGCTGAAGATCACCTGACTGGATTTATCTTGGATAGCCTAGTGTGGTGCAGCGAACCAAAGGTCAGCAAAAAAGAGACTAAGGCGACATTTTCACTCAGGGGCTGCCTTGTTAGTCGGACTGTTAGTAAGCCTCTTAACTTCTTTCTTTGTAAAATGACAGCTTTTCTTTCTTTTCAAAGTGATGATATTTTTGGCTTTGAACATTTTCAACCAGTGATTTTCTGCTCCTAAAGCATTTTTCTTGGAGGTGATAGCAGCAGGAGCAGAACCCGAGGAAACTGCTGTTGTTGGCTAGTTGTCACGCACAAACACTTCATCCTCAGCTCAAACACCTGAGAGGTCTGAGAATTAATGATCTGTATTAGATACTGAGAGAAGCCAATGTTTTATTATGCTCATTTTCTAAAGGTAAACCTCAAATCTACCGCATTCTGACAGTCTCCTAGCTCCAAAGTATGCTATGATCTCCACCCATGAAAGAGGGGGGTTGTGCTTACGTGGATGGGAAGATGACAATTCCCTCTGCTCCTGTTCACGGGAGGAGGCTGGGGGTTTACTCTGTCCACTCTGACACAGGATATTTCCCAAGAAGGCACGATGGGAAGAACAGCATACACTCCTACAAATGTATTGATTGAAAGCTAGAAATGGCCTGAATAATCAGTTTTCAATTCCTACTGATTGGCCGGGCTCGGTGGCTCATGCCTGTAATCCCAGCACTTTGGGAGGCCGAGATGGGTGGATCACGAGGTCAGGAGATCGAGACCATCCTGGCTAACATGGTGAAACCCCGTCTCTACTAAAAATACAAAAAAGTTAGACGGGCGTGCTGGCGGGCGCCTGTCGTCCCAGCTACTCGGGAGGCTGAGGCAGGAGAATGGTGTGAACCTGGGAGGTGGAGCTTGCGGTGAGCCGAGATCGTGCCACTGCACTCCAGCCTGGGTGACAGAGCAAGACTCCGTCTCAAAAAAAAGAAAAAAATAACAAAAAAACCCACAAATCAATTCCTACTGATCATAGTGTATGGCTAACGGACATTGCGAGAGAGCTAGAAAGGAGGCATTGAGGCACATGGATGGAGACGTATCTTTTTCATCCCTTCAAGATAAATTCTGATGTATGAGAAACATTCCAGCCTAAAACACTGGAATGAGTGGAATGCCCAGGTATGATTCTGATGTCATGGAATTACCTCTTATTTTACTACTGGGACACTGCAACATAACTCCTCAGAAGTATTGTTTTACTTCTCTGAGAAAGATGAAGAAGTATTTTACTTCTCTGAAATATTTAAATCTTTGAGATTTCTCATTGTGCTACATCCTTCTTTCATCGCTAGTTTCAAAGTCTCCCTTTCTTGAGGGCTTAGAGTACCTGCAGTGATTGAAACACAGTCTGAGATCTTGAAAGGACTCAGCCACTTGAGTAAAAATCCTAAAGCACGGTTTGTCCTGTAGACAACATTTGTTAAACATTTTTTAGTAGTTTCCTCCAGCTTACTAAATGAGCTACATATTCATTAATTGATGAATTTATTCAATGACATTTATGTACTATTTGTCAGTCTCTAGACTGAATCAGTAAAGAAAATAAGTAAACCAGTAAGGAAAATAGGCAAATCAGTAAAGATAATAGGTAAAAATCCCCGCTCTGGTGAGACTTACAGTCCAGGGAAGCAGGGATGCCACAAATACAATTAAGAAGACAATTGCATTGAATGATAGGAAGCAGGAAGTGCCGTGGAGTTGGGAAATAGGATGAGCAGGGTCAGGGACACTAGGAGGGGAAGATGGAATTGTTAATGTGGATGGGGTAGACCCTATCAGGAAGGTACCATTTTAACAAAGACTTGATGGGATGCAGAAGCACAAGGGGAAGTGTGTTCTAGGGCAGAGGAACCCCCCATGAAAAGGCCCTGTGGTAGGAGTGGCCTAGGGTATGTGTGAAAAGTCATCAGAGCAGAGTGCACAAGGGTGAGAGGGTGGGAGATGAAGTCCAAGAGCTGATCATAGATTGTGTGGTTGCAGGTGATTGGAGTGGTATTAAAAGACTGAAGGAGAGTTTTGAGCAGGCGTGATATCATCATCTGACTTATATTGTAAAAGTCTTGTTCAAGCCGTTGTGTGGAAAAGAGCTTGTAGGGGTATGTGTGGGACAGAGAAATCATTTAGAAGGCTGTTGTAATAACCCAGGTGAGAGATGATGGTGATTTGGTCCAGTGTGGTAGCAGAGAAACTGGTAAAAAGTGGTCAGATTCTTGGTTGCATTCAAGAAGTAGAGGCAACAGAATTGCCAAAAGATTTTGTGAATGTGTGATAGAGAGACATCGAGGAAGATTCCCCTATTTCGGTCCAAGTAACTGGATTGCTGAAATTATCTCTAACTATGATAGAAAAACCGTGGGTAGAGGTTTGGAGGATAAGGATAGAAACTCAGCTTTGGCCATATCTAGTTGCCATTTAGGAATCCAAAGGAAATGTTAAGTAGGCAGATTTATTCAGGAGGCTGGGACAATGTACCTGGATCTATTAATTTAGGAGTCTCCCCCATTTTGATGGCATTTAGAACTCTAAGATATTACCATGGGAAGGAGTATAGATAGAAAAATAGAGAGGGCCAAGACCAAGTGTGGGGCCCTCCCATGAAGAGGTCAAGGAGAAGAGGAGATTGAGAAAGTATCATTGAGGCAGGAGAAAAACCTACAGAGTGTGGAGTCCTTGAGGCCAAGCTGAGCAAAAGACTCCAGGAAGGGGAGTGATCAAGTGTGTCATATGTGGGTCATGGGTGAAATAAGGTAAAGACAGGTAATGGACCACTGGATTTACATCATCCAGGACTTCATAGAGAGCAGCTTCCATGATGTGGTGAGAATGACCGCCAAATTAGAGTGGATAGAAGGGAGACTTGGAGGGGTAGAATTGGAGAGTGAATTCAGACAGCTCTCAATGGGAAGAAATGGGCAGTGACTTCTTCTTTGGGAAAAAGGTTTTTTTTTTTTTTTTTTTTTTTTAAATATAAGATGCTATCTGGGGAATAGTACAGTAAGATGGGAAAATTGGTAGTGTATAAGCCCGGGGGACAGCTGTGTCCTGAATTAGTCAAGGGGAAGAGACCTACTTCCCCTCAACAAGTGGAGAGACCTACTATAGGTGGGAACATGGCAATTCATCTGTGGTAACAAAACCTGTTTAACTCTATTTAACTAAAAATTTTCCACTCTTCTTGCACACAGATCTCTCTCTCTCCTCCTTTTCTTTTTCATGTAGTATCTACCAGCAGCTCATGGAACTAATGTCCTTAAAGGCATGCATTGGAAAATGTTGCTGGAGACTGTAGAGTTAGATAGGCAGCAACAGTTTTTGAAATTTCATGTTCCTATCAACTCCATGATTCATAGGCAGTTATCATACAGTAATTTTATGATTGGAACTATAGTTTGTACCTCAAGAATATAAAGGAATTCAATTGTTAAAGTATTGCTTCAAAGAATAAGCCAACTTACTAAAAAAGTTTTCAGAAAACGAAAACCACAACAATATTCTGGAATTGTTTTATATGCACAAAGAATATTTATTTGAAAGGGCACCTGTTATTTCCTCTATTGCTTTTTGGCTGCTTCAATTCACACCACCCTGGGGTGGGTTCAAGAGAAGGAGAAATGGAGCGTGCTGGGTCAGGCTGAGTGATGGCTCCCACGAGGCGTTGCATCTGGACTTTGATGTGTCTTGGGCGAAGTGTAGAGTGAAGGGTTGACAGCCACTCATGCT